TTTTTTTTTTTTTTTTTTTTTTTTTTTTTTTCCTGAAGACGTATTCCTTTCATTCGTAATTGATAGCAAAGGTCTGTTTTTGTTTTGCTTTCGCAGGTTCGCACAATGCGATTGACAGAAGAGCCAAGATATCCTGGGCTGAAAGATGCGTTGGCATTGACGGACAGTGCAGCCGCGGCTGAGGTTGGGCTAGTCATTCAGCTAAGTGTAGGAACAGTCGAGGCACCCGACGAGTCGCCTTTCATTGGGTATGAGCATGCATGCATTTTATTTTTTTATTTTTTTATTTATTTTTTAACCATTTGTCAATTTGTGTGCCATCCTTTCACAGGGGCTATGGTAATCTTCTGTTTATCATTCCGATTTGAATGCTGAATGCGTCTCGCGAAGGACATCTTCATCAGCCTTTGTAAGTTTAGTAGCTGGGCTACCAGCCGGACCGCCTAGGCTGCCTCTATCTGGCCTAGGTGGCTCAGCCGGGCCAGGACTTCTCAAGATCAGGGTGAAGGTCCCGGGAAGCCGCAGCGTGAAAGAAAGACAAACAACAAATGGAAGAAAACCTGGAAAAGAACTATGTGTCGTGGGGGGAACCACCTGTCGGGGGGGGGGGAAATAAAAAAATGAAACAACAAGTTGCAAGTTGCAACAACAAACTCAACCTTCTTTTTTCTTAGAAAAAAAAGAAGACAGAGCTCCAGTCTATTTGTGGGGAGCAACACCTGTCGAGAAACCGGCCGAGATACCAAATCCAGTCAGATAGATTTGAAATACGGAAGCTGCCAGAGAGCGGGAGGTTAGGCACATCGCCCAAACCCGTCCTCCAGGGACAGTCCCCTTTTCACCAAGATGAGCCAGAACGATTATCCATCTCCACTACGATACTCTAAATACACCTATCGAGCCCTATCTCTTGATAAGAAAAGCACTGCCAATGCACTCATAACATCCCCGCAGGTGCTGTTCCCCACCAATAGATCCGAGCATCCAGTGGTGGGTCTGCTAGGAGGAGATGTTCATATCACTCTCATCAGCAGACCAAAGCCGGGGATTTCAAAGAAATTCAAAAGTTTTAAAAAACAACATCCCCGCCTCAACACACTTGTGAAACAAAAGGTACAGACCCTAACGACAATACGTCATTCACATCCCTATCTGTACTCTCACATATAATTGGCCCCCACGACGAATATCGTCCTAAAAAATTTACCACAGAATCAGAGTCCGATTTGCCGTTTCAGGGCAAGCTCACACTGGAACTTTTCTGAACGCATCTCCCCGCAATTGTGGCTCAATTTGCCTGACATTTCTCTGAAGGCATTTCACCACAATTGTGGTCAGACCGGACGGATGTCCAGGCATAGGACCTCACTGCACTACTTACCTAGTGGTGGAATCGAGAGCGGACGGGTGTCCAGGCATAGAACCTCGCTCCACTACTCACCTAGTGTGCAAATTGAGCATGAATCTTCCGCTAGAACATGGGAAGATACACCGGCATACAGAATGAATATTCCAATAGAGCAAGAATCTTCCGCTAGAGCATGGGAAGATACACCGGCATACAGAATGAATATTCCAATAGACCATGAAAAGATACACCGGCATACATAATGAATATTCCAATAGAGCGTGAAAAGATAAACCGCCATACTTCTCGACTTTTGTGCGTGTAGTGAGTAGTAGAGTGAGACCCTTAGTAAAAGAAAGCCCTTTAGCTCGAATCCAACTCGACCCTGAAAGGGAGAAAAAGGTGATTGAGGGTTCATCTTCGAATACAACTAGATAGTGGACACAATGTGGATGGAAGAACATGTGACAGCTACCAAGGAGACGGCCCAAGTTCGGATCCGGCCTGATATGATACGGATGGAAGAACACACATATGACTGCTAGCGGGTAGGTCCCAAGTTCGAATATGACCTGATCCTGAAAACAAGGGGACGAGAAGGACGTGCCGGCGACTACAGAGAGGCCCCATGGGGTTCACCGAGCCAGCGATAGACCTTTTCCTCTTTCTTTTAGCAAAAACAAAAAAGAAGCTCATGTGATAGACCGATAGTGCTTCCTGCATTTGAAACTTTGAGAAGTCGAAACTGTGAGCCTCTCTAATAGTGTAGCCCTGACCAAGCCAAAACATACTCGCGCAAGCACACACCGTGAGTCCATTTGCGTACATGCGGCGGCGGACATGCACAGCACACACGAGGTGCACAACATGCACATACCAAGAATTTCAAAAACAAATACCTGCTATGATCCTGGTCAGCTCCCAATGCAAAATCACAAAGAGACTGCCATTCACTCGCGACTCAAATGAAAGAAATTGGAAGAAGAAGAAGAAGAAGAAGAAGAAGAAGAAGAAGAAGAAGACGAAGACAAAGACGAAGACTAAGAAGAAGAAGAAGACGCAAGCTGGAACCAATGTCATCTCTCCCTCATCTTGCCTCCATAATCTCCCCCTCAGCATCTCCGCGATCGTCTTTTTATCAATAACGGACAACGACAATGATGAATAAAAGAGCCAGAATCAATGTTCAATTACCCCCCCTTACTGCCAGCCTCGGAATGGCATCTGGCGATGATGGGACATCCAAGCCTAGCTTGCATGTTCAGAGGACAATGCAAAGGCTTCCCTGCCCTCTCCCACTTCAGCCGCCAAGCCTACACCAGTGGATGAAGTGTACAACCCACTGGTACCCCCTTCAGTGGCCTTCTAGATGCAGCACCAACCTTGGCGATGAAGATGCAAGTCCACCATAGCCAAAGGTGAGTCTCCTTCCCGGTTACCACCTCCTTCCTCCTCCTCCCACCTCTACTACACCTCCATTGCCTAGCTAGAGGTCCTTCTCCCTCACCTCCATAGCCTAGGACTACTACCTCCTCCCTACTACACCTCCATGCAATCAGACTCGCTTTTCTTTCCACTTTGCACTCATGCAAACAGATGGTGGATCACACTGGCGCACAGTGCCCACTCAAAGCTCAAAGATACGGAAGTCGAAAACACAGTTCAGATACAAACTCGCTTCAACAGGCTATGGCGCATCAGCGCCCGTACACCCCAACTCTCGTCTCTCTGCCCAACACCACTGTTCGCACTCACTCAACTCTGGATCACCCTGGATATCCCACACGCATGCACACTCACACACACTACTACTAACACACTCGCCTATTAGCTATGGCGGCTATGGACGCTGTCCCTCACTAGCTATGGCTAACTATCTCCTTCAGCCCACTTTGTCTTCGGGCACTCTGCAGACCACCTCGCACAAGTCGCTCAAGCAGCGCTTCCGCATGGCTTACGCAGGAATGAATGAATGGCTGGGCGCTGCCTCTTGATTTATACTTCTGTGACTCGTTGGTCTGCCCCTTTCCCATGCCCTTGGTGCACACAGTCCCTCATGGGACTTGCTGACTGGACTCAGTGAGACTGGGACTGGGTACCGCTGACTCAGCAAGGGTGGACTTCACCACTTGCCCACTTGCCTCTAGTCTGTTGTGAGCAACGTTGGAAGGGCCACTTCCGGACCTTCCGGAAGTCTGTGGACTTGGCCCTTCGACACTGTAGCAGCTACGACCTTGACCTTTCAGGACTGTAGCAGCTACGAACTTGACCTTTCAGAAGAGTTACAGCTACAACTTCTAGAACTCACTAAGACCTCTATCCGACGGGTCTACAGATCGAATGCCTACAACCTACGGACCTACGACAGCCTACCAACTGTTGCGAATACACAGGTCACGGGTTCAACGCTCGGGGTCGACACAGGTACTGTACACAGGTAAGGTAAGAACTAGGGATCGAGCCCTGGGATCTGCATCCGCTACTGCTAACAGGTGAATACCGTTTCACCCATCTCCGTGGAGTCCGCCTTCATCACCCTCCAGCTCCGCCTTCACCATCCAGGAGCTCTGCCACTTCTCCCTCTAGGCGGAGAAGCAGAATGACTGCTGGTTGAATGACCGGAATGCTCATTGCGCCGAATGATATACTTGCATCCTCCAGCCTCTGCCATGTCCCAGCAGGGTACTACCTGCCTTTACCCCACCTAACTTGTGTGCACTAGGCCTACTGGATGTTCCCTCGTTTTGCCGGAGCAGCGCCATAGCTGGGAAGCCGTTGCTAGGGTTGGAGGCCGCAGTGAAGCAGGCACTTCATCTGCTGGGCCTGGCGACAGCATATCTGTGCTGTGGGGTTAGGTACTGCCATATCTTCTTCTTCATGGCAGCTGTTCTTCTTCTTCTTCTTCTTCTTCTTCTTCTTCTTCTTCTTCTTCTTCTTCTTCTTCTTCTTCTTCTTCAAGCTGGAGGTTCCTTCTTCATCATGGAGCTGCCGCTGTTCGTCCTGGGAGGTCTCTGACTCAGCGCTGCTGCATCTGAGTTATTTTGGGAGGGCGCTGGGGCTGCTGAGGCTGTGGGAGGCAGGCGCTGGCGTTCTGCAGGATTTGGGGCTGGGTGCTGCAGCTCTGTGCTGTGCGCCATAGCCGGTCGATGATAGGAGGTTGGAGTTGGAGGAAGGAGGAAGACTCGCAAGGTCTTGTTGAAGCTAACGTTCCGAGTTTGTTCAAGGTGGTTTATTCTCGGTTGAGGTGCTTGAGTTCCTGTGGAACTGATTGAGCGGGAGAGAGGCGAGAGACTGGGAATTGATATTTTCTTCTATTGTTCTCGAGCGGTGGGTGGGCTTCCGCTCTGCATATCTCAAAGTCGGGTGTGGTGTGAATTCCCTCTCCAAGTCTGCTTCGTGGCATGTGTATGGGAACATGTTGACGCTCTGTTGGATTGCGTTTCAACCAGTCACATAACACATGAGTAAAATAACTGTAAAAAAGGTGGATGCTGACCTCTTAAACCACCAGTACGTTTCCCAGCCATTTTTCTCTGATACGGCGTGCATGCAGCCGCGAGTTTCAGGGGTCTACCAGAGCGAAATGGCTGGTTCCGCCAGCCAAAAGAAGGCCCGTGCAGGGCGTTTCACGACTCAGCAAGGGAAGGCTGAAAAATACTGGTGGTTAATTAAGTGCTTACACTGTGTAGCACTGTTTTTTTTTTTTTTTTTCATGTACTGGACAGTGCTCAATTGCCAATCCTGTGGATATGCTTTATTGCTAAGTACCTCCTGGTTTATGGTACACCGTACACGGCAGTGGAGAGTGGTCCACTGCCAGTATGATGGATTGTTTCCTGCCAAGTACCCCCTAGTGTGGATCATTTGCTGCAAAGTACCCCCCCTATCTGTCTACACAGG